TTGATTTCCTTAATATTGCTGACAGTTTTTTTTTTTTTTTTTTTTTTTTTTTTAAGAGAGAGATTTTTGCTTTAGGACGCATAAGGTTACCTGAGAAACAGAGGTAGAAAGCAAGAAGTTACCCCCCGGGGGAGGGGGATGGCCATACTGCAGTCCCTTCTGCATTCTCCTTTTGGGATTTTGGGCACATACGCACATGTGCCAAACATGAGTTTGAATTGAAGCCACCGGGTCCTGGGATTTGAACTGTGGTTGACTATGTGGGAGTCCAGCGATGTAACCATTACATCATCTGCTGGTCTCTAATAGTTTTCATTCATTCATTTTTAAGAATAAAGGAGTTTTAGACAGAAGTGAAAAGAGAGAATACTGGGGTGGGGGGGATCTGGAAGAACGTAAGAGCAGTTATTAACATACAGGACTTTTGCATATATGTTCACAAATAAGCATTTGAATATGAATCAGGCATTTGGGCATACTGTGGTTAGCCACACCACAGACTACCATCATTGAGTTTATGCTGACGGATTTTTAATGCTTCTTAGGATGCCGAGGATTGTGCTAGCTTCAGAAACTAAGCTACAAAGCTCTCCATAATTTTCTTTTCTTTCCTTTTTTTTAAAAAAAGAATTATTTATTTGATTTTAATTATTCATTTATTTATTTTAATTTGACCAGAGAGAAACAGAGAGAGAGGGAAAGTGAGAAAGCAAGCCACCAGGTCCAGGATTCAAACTGTGGTCGCTCCTATGGGAGTGTCTAGCGCCTTAACCACCATGCCACATGCTGCCCACCCCCCCAATTTTCTTTTTTAAACATAACTATTTATTTAATTTTATTTGTTATTGTCATTATTTTTAATTTGCTACAGGACACATGTGCTCACCAGAGAGAAAGAGAGAGAGAGAGAGAGGGAAAGTGAGAAAGCAAGCTGCCAGTTCCAGGACTCAAACTGCAGTTGGCCATGTGGGAGTCCAGTGCCCCAACCACCATGACACCTGCTGATCCCCCCCCGCCTCCAAAATTTTTTATGCATTGAATTTGAAGCTCAGGAATTAGTTATTCAAGAAGTTTTACAACTCATCCATAAGTTTGAGTGGGCTGGATACTTTTTATTTGGGTGTACAGATTTTTGGCATCTTTTTTTTTTCAGTCCTAGCTATAGTTTTTAATGTCATTCGTTTTTTCCAGCATTTTTGAGCTACCTTAGTTTTTCTTGAAAAGAGACTATTTCATTGTGATGTCAATACTTATGGCTGCATTAAGATGTATAAAGTTTTTTTTTTTTAATTTTAGTTTTTGCTAGAGGTTGCATGTACTCACCAGGGAGAGATACGGAAAAAAGAAAAAAAAAGGAAAAGTGAGAAATCATCCCCCAGGGGGCACGGCCACTCAGCAAACTCTTCTTCTCCAGTTTCCACTGGGGATTTGTACACATATACAACATATACCAGGAGTGTTTTTCGGTCTACCCGGTTTAGGACTTGAACTGTGTGGTTGGCCATGTAGGATCTGGCTGCCTTAACCTCCACATCACCTGTTGGTACTACAAGGTCTTTTAATAATTTGTAAATTTCCCAGTGACCAGCAGTTGGCATAATGGCTAAGTCGCTGGACTCCCATGTAGTCAACCG